AGGGTATGTGGGATGATCATCGTTCCTTGGGTGTCTGACGGATGCAAGAACAGAGGGTGTGAGAAAGGAATACTCTCCACTGCAATCTTCTCTTCTCCCATGCAGTTTGCCATATAGGGTTTCTATGTGAGATTTTCGTGAGCTGGCGTGAATGGGCTCTTCCGGCAATCCTAGACGGTGACCTGTGGCTTTGATACCATGTTGAACGGCATACCCTATCTCAACACCTCAAAATGAACAACTCTGAACTCACAAAACTGAATACTTCATTGAATTGGAATTAGATTACACGCGCACGTTGGGCCTATTTGGACGCAATATTTATAGACTAATCATGGGAGCTTTACAAAACCGTAAACTACACAAAACGCAAACTAATGGGCTTTACATTTTGGGTCCATATCATAGAAGCACTAAATACACCTAACGTATACACATACAAGTATTTCAACATCCTTGTATTCTTTTCGCTTGTATGAGGAGCAAGAATGACAGGTTATAGACTCGTCATGATTGCATGATTCTTTTCTAGTTCAGTGGACTTAAACTTTGCTTTAATTGTAACGTTTTCTTGTCTTTTCCTTCTCCTGATATATAATTATGACCTATGTTTTGGCAACTTTTTGGCTAGCAACGTTAAATGCCTTTGTTTCATAGAATCAACAATGGGTGGCGGATTGGAGGGGACGGTATTGCACAATGCATGTGAGGAAAAGGAACCAAGGCGAGAAACTCAAAATATTAAACTTTTCTTAATCATATATTCTTAGCTGCATGTTCTTTCGCCTTTTGGGGAATCTTAAGTCCTTGTTCTTTTGGCATCAACTGCAACTACCATTTCATAGTTGGGGATAAAAACGGTTCTCCGTCAACAACCAAGAAGGGGGAAAAATTTAAAAAAAAAAAAAACAAGTTACAAAACAAGAAAAATGGGACCCTAAGTATTATAGAATTGCTTCTTGCTAATCTGACTATCAAATGCTTCCTTCAGCTGCTTCTTGGTGATCTGACTTCCATGATTTCGAAACCAATAAACACTACAAGAAGGAAAACCTGTTTTGAAATAAGAAGCATGTTCTCTTCTACTCACGACCGTAAATACAAGACTTTATTGACAACTTTCAAACTGTTGGCTGGCCTTGCTAACTGGAGGGACGGACTAATTGAAACTATGGTGATTAATCCCTGAATATACGTATAAGGATTGAGATTAAAATTAAAAAAAATATGTTAAAAAAATGTTTAATATGAAGGAAATACCATGGGAGGAGATCGTATTCTTCAGTCTCACCTAGGGTATTTTTCAATTCCACCTATATAAGATTGTTTAATCTTATGTAACAAGAAATTATTTATGCTAAATATTCTTTAATGTTTTTTTTCAATCCCAATCATAATTTTGACCATTCATTCTCAATATTTTCTTCGAAATGTTACATAAGGCTTTGACCACGTTTCACCAAAATCTTCAAAGACCAAAAACTTACTCTTCCCTGTTGGGGGGGAAAAAACTTATTTTTCCGTATATATACAACCAGTCCAAAACCCGATGGGTAGTCTTTTTTCCCCTTTACCAAAACCAGATGGCCAGTTGAGAACTTATTAAATAAACAATTAGTTTATATATCTCTTGAGTCGATATTTCAGAGAGATTGTAGATTGCACATATGATTATATACTTCATCTAATACTAACTCGAGCAATTAATTTAGGATCTAGTTTGTAGTTTAATTTAAGCTACAGATTAGATTTTATATTAAGAATGGAAGATAATATATATTAATAGTAATAAATAGTTTAGACTACCTAATTATAAAACACCTCCTTATATGCAATGTTGGGGGTTTTGTTTGTTGGATCCTAGTCTAAGATTCACATCTTTAAACTTTATTTCTGACGTGTTCGCTTTCCATTATTGCGATACATGCTCTCAATCTCATGTGATTTTCTATTTTTTTAATAAAAAAATCGCATCATTTATATTGTCACTTGCCATTCATTTTATTTTTATTTTGATGTATGAAATTTAAGATAAATTTATTCAAAACACACCATATAGAGAAAATATTTGTTATTTTAACAATATTCAAATTTTTTAAAATTATGGATAAGGATGGTGGGAACTCATTTCGTTCCTAAAGAATCTGCATGGAAGGAGAGGTAATACATTCCATCACCACTTGTTTTATCATATTAGGGAAGCAAAACTCATCTAAGCATTTTAGAACAAAATCCCATCAAACTCAATTATAGGCTTTTTCTAAGTCAGTCTTGATAGTCATATAACCCTTCTTCCTTTTCAAGTTCCTCATAGCATGATAACCTCTTAAGTGGCAATAATGTTATCTAAGGTGGTTTGCTCAGGGACGAAGTTGTATTGGTTAGGACAAAAAACTTCAAGGAGAAACTTTTTGATTTTGTTGTCCATGTCTTTACTGCTTCGTAGTCCCCTTTAATACATGCTATATAGTTTTCTTTTGACAAATTTCTTTTACTTGCACCTGGGAAAATTTTGATAATCATTGCATCATTTGATGCTTCATTTAGTGATGTGTGAATCATTCGATGTCTAATCTTAGCGATGTCGGGGTTTACTTTTGCTTTTCAGCTTATACTCTCAATGTCTTTATGGCCTTGTAGTCTCCTTACACATATGCTATAAATATATATATATATATATATATTTATATTTATATATATATATTTTCAAACTTCTTTGGTCGGTGCAATTGTAAAGATTGATGATCATTACATCATTTGATGGTTGATTTGGTTCCCTCTACACGTGTGTGGGAAAATTGGAATTGATTCATATGCTTGAATTTAATATGCAAGGCTACCTAAATTATTCTCTTATGTTGTATGACCCTTCAAAATTGTATACGTGGCTTATTTGAGGAAAAATTGTTTTTTATTTAAATATATGTGCTTGCTCTGATATTTGCACTTGTATATGTGATGCATTTCTATGAGGCTCATTGACATTTATTTATGTCATTTGTTTACTTTTGCTCTTCAAAGGTAATAAAAGACATATTTATGAAAAACGAACTAATAATTAGAGATGAAAACATGTTAGGTCAAGCTTTAATTAAATGGGCTTGAGCTTGAAACAAAGGCATAAAGTCTGAACCTAAATCTAATTCTATACACGGGTTTTTTGTTTTTTTTTTAGACTTAGGCTTAAGCCTTTGAAAGGTCTGATTAAACCTAAAGCCTTTTTAAAGACTTAAAATTCTATACCTTCAATCATATATATAACTTCTCAAGCCTATTTAGGAGACTATATTATGCCTTAAATAAGGTCTGACGCTATAAAAATTACATGTGATTTAATTATTTATAGCTTAAATTTACAATAAAATAACAAGATTCTATTAATTACGTATCTCATAAAAACTAGATTCAATTACATTAGCATACAAACGTTAATTTGTGTTTTTGCCGACCATATGATGATTTGTTTTGTTTTTTATTATACAATACAATAAATTGTTTATAACAATGATAAATCATTCTACAAATATATCATAATTAAGCTAATAATCTGAGATTTTAATATAATTTCTTTTTATTGGATGACTCCAATAAAATAAATTAAGTCATTAAGTAGATTATTTAATTGTATTGTTACTTTCCAGAAGATAGACTTTAAAAATGCAACTATAAAACTTTAGATTAATCAAAAGTAAAACATGATACTGTGAGTTCTTAAACAACAAATTATGAACACGCTAATCGACCAATATAATATATAGGCTTGGAGTACTTTTTTAATACAACATTGAAATTTTCATCATAATTCCATAATTTCCGAAATTGAAACTTTACAAGAATATATTATAGAAATATGTTTAGATTTATCCCAAAAATTTTAAAACAAGCAGCAATAGGCTAAATGAATGAGAAGAATTTAATAGAAATAAGTTCTTTTAAGAGCCTTAGCGTCCTTATTAAACTGACCCGACCAGGCTCGAAGTAAATTAGGCTGTAGACCCTAAAAAGTTTTGGCCTACTTTCACCCTTTTTGTTAATGACGTGGCCTTTTCAAAACTGTTGGCGTCCTCACAAAATTTGAAACCATCCTTCAGTTTGCAGTATAATTTTTAATTTTCAGTAATCATAATTGCTTATACGGATATTTACCGAACATTGTTGTTGATCTTATTCAGTTCATAGCATCTTAAACCATGTTTGTTCTTCCACAACGATATCCTCCATATCATAAAAAATGTAGCAGCTTTTAAGGCCCACAACAAACTAACATGTTCTATCTTGCTATCTTTTGAGCAGTTTGGATTCATTTACTTCTATTGCTAATGATTTCTTTTATTTTATAATCATCAAGTTCTAACTTGCCTCACCATTCCCCAAAAAAAAAGAAAAAACAGAACGCAATAAATCAATACACATTAAATTAAACCGTCAAAAGGGAAAAAGTAAAGAAAAGAAAAACAAAAAAAGAACATGATTATTTCCCAGAAGGTCCGTTTTAAGTGAAAGATATTTATTTTTCATGTTTTCAGTACAGAAAATAATTAAATACTAAGGTTGAAAACATACAAGATAAGTATAGAAAATATTGAAAATGAACACTAAAAAAATTGCAAAACTGATTATTAAAAGTGTCAAGAATAGGTATTAAAAATATGGAAGATGACTATTGAAAATATGAAAAAATAATTGAATGATTAATTAAGAAAATATTTTGAGAAAAAAATTATATAACAAAATACTGCACCTAAATAAAATGTATTTTAGAATGATGACTTGTTAGATGAACTTTAACTCTATACGTGGCTATTAAAAAAATACCTAATTTACCACTACTCGTGTGTTTCAAATAAATTGATTTTTTTTAGATATATTTTTCTTACTTTTATATGGTTAATTTTTACGTAAATCAATTACAACCTGAGAAAATTTGGCTTTATTCTCTATCATCCCATCCCCACGAAGACACACAAAAAAAAAATTGAAGAGTAATTTATACACACATATATAATCAAAATGGGTGACGTAATTCCATTATATATGGATAGTGGGTATCATGTGTGTTATAAAAACGGCATCGTTACAAGGGGTTAATATTCCAGCCCCCAACTCAATTTTGCAGAAGGTCTTTATGCTTCCGCTTCAACTTATTCTATGTATAGTAATGACCTATTGTGGGGAACTAAACACAACAATAGGGCTCCTCACTTTGATCTTGCCATCACTCCAAACCAAAGATGCTGACACCATAGATGCTTCCAAGCTTCCTTCAATACTCAGCACAAAGCTCTGTTTTTCCCCATGAGAAGTGAATGAAAGAACACTTGGGTTCACTTGGATTTTCAGCCCCAGAGGACCCCTCACATTGGCTTTGTATGTGGACTTTTCTGACCCAACGTACGTAACAGTTCTTTTAAACATTCCACTTACAGTGACGTTGGAGGGAGGGGTTGGAAGAGCAAAAGACGGATAGTTTAGATCACTAGCTCTAGCTGATTCAGAGCAGCTGCTATTATCCCCTGTGACAAGCTGTAATGTCCTTGTGGTGTATCCTTGTCCACATAAGAATCCCACGAAGTCTATTTCACTAGCATCATATACTAAACCAGGACTCACTGCCTTTATAGGATCGATTTGTCCTGCTCCATACGCAAACTCTGCATCTCGATTAGTCTTGGGACTCAATGGCATCGCTACAACAACCACACACAACATGAAATATGTCAAATTTTTTGCATTAGTATGTCGCAAGTTGATAGACATGGTGTGTAAATATTCGAGAATGGAAGATGTATTACCAGTGGTCATCAAAGCTGATTTGATAGCTGAGGGAGACCAATCGGGATGGAATGATTTAACGTAAGCTGAGGCCCCAGAAACATGCGGGCAAGACATGGACGTTCCTGAGATAATGTTGAACTGCACAGTTCTGTTGTCACCGTCAACCTCAGAAATGGAGGAATTTGGAGACCAACTAGCGAGAATGTTGACCCCTGGAGCAACTAAATCCGGCTACAACGAAAAAGGAAAACATTTGTAATAAAAATATGATGACTCTAATCTTTGTATATATTGAAGTGACCAATTGATGATCAACCATAGCCAATGTACCTTGAGAATACCAGGGGAAACAGGGCTTGGACCTCTAGCAGAGAAAGAGGGCACCATAGGGGCCAATGTATCCTTTTCCTCGTTAGTTCTATAAATGGTTGCAGTTGGATTCCTGCGAGATTTTGTCAAGGGATTCCTTTTAGAGAAGTCTAGTGCTATGGAATGCTTGTTAATATGTACTTGTAGCTTCAGTTAATGGTTAATACCTTGTGGAATTTATGTAGCTGAAAATATTGGCAGCATCTTGCAAGTCTACGTACGAAGCAGGCAAGGGGAAAGTGAGAGAATAGTCTCGGAAATTTTGACCTTGTGTCAGTGCGCCAACGGCTTCTGCCATGAAGGCACCTGATGCTTGGCTTCTGCCTTCGCACAGAACAATTTTCCCCTTGACCAAATTTGGATCCAATGTGTTGCCAGTGCAAAACCTGCACTTATTACACTATTTCATTAATTAAGATTAAAAAATATTCTCATGTCTTCACGTAGAGGACTTCAAGGCGCTGTCACCTGGATAAAGATCCATCAAAGCCCTCCTTAGTGTTTGGTGCATCCGCTCCATAAATTATGGGATATTGTTGTCCCTTGAGGTCAAATGTATTTATTGAAATTCCCTAAACACGGAACAAGGAGATCATGAATAAAACTTGATCTCTGGTTATTGATTCCAGTTGAGAATTCAGTTACTAGCTAGTTCCATTAGGATAATTTCTCAGGTTAACCTTACCTCAAATGTTCTATTGTCACCTATTCCAACCTTGGTAAGAAACTTTCTATCGATGGTGCTGGCAGCCACAGAAATAGACCAAGGTGAAAAATTTGTGAGTGATCCAAGGCTTGGACCAGAATTTCCCGCAGAAGTTACCGTCAATATTCCATTTCTCATGGCATGAAAAGCTCCAATGGCTAATCCATCTCTGAAATAATTCTCATCATTCAACCCTCCAAGAGAAACTGAGAGTATGTCCACCCCATCAGCAATGGCATCATCAAAAGCTGCGAGAATGTCTGCATCATTACAGCCATCCAACCAGCAAACTTTGTATGCGGCAATTCGTGCTGATACAGCTCCTCCTCTTGCTGTTCCTGCTGCTAACCCCAACATGCTTGCCTGGCTCACTGGGTTCCCAGCTGCTGTGGATGATATATGAGTCCCATGACCAGCATAGTCTCTTGGAGACTTTTCCTCACCATCGAATGATCCATCAGATCTGTAATACTTTGCCCCAATGATTTTTCTGCAGTGACAGCATGATCTGTTAATGACCTATACTACATAAATAAGACTAACATCTACATATATAAACACGCACACGCACACACCTGTTGCAAGTGAAATTAGCGGATGATTGACATACGCCCTTCCATTTCTTAGGTGGTGGACCCAATCCTTTGTCGATGAAGCTTTCGGATTCTGGCCAGATTCCAGAATCAATAACTCCGATGATGATATCACTTTCAGTCCTGGCTCTCTGCACGTTCTGTGGGAAGCCAAGGAAATCCCAAGATTTTGTCGTGTGGAGTTGTCTCTTTCGATTGGGGAAGACGGAGACCACACCATCAAGTCCTGCATTGTGAATTTTCTGGGCTGAGAACTATGAACCGAAGACAGAGAGCGTGAGTTCTGAAGAAGATAAGGAAATAGTCTTCTTGCTCACCGGACATTCTCTCAGCTTCTTTCTGTGTTAGCTTCACAACAAAGCCATTGAAACTCCGTTTGTACTGATGAAGAACTGTCTTGGGCGCAGCATTGCTGAAATTAACGATTACATATACACTGATGTATGACATGCAATTTTCAACGTACCAGTATAATATAATCACAGGATACATGAACTTTCAATACTTAGCCTTTGTCTCTCTTACGCTACGATCTTATCGGATCATGCAACTTCTTAACAGATATGTAAAAGCTAAACTATCCACGCACGTGCTTATGACTTGAACTTATCCGTGGTGGGAGGTGGAGTGTTAAAAGCTATAATTATTAAATAATCTATGTACGACTGTTGAAAAATTTAAGGTTTTAAGGCTAACTCGTACTTGTAGCGTTGAAATGTCTGGTTAGACTGGTATTACCTGTCGGCTGCATTTTGCAGCAAGCTTGTGTACTGTGACAAGGCAGAAGCTTCATCAGTCTTGCTGTTCCCAGTGTAGACAATGTAAGTCTGCATTATCAGAAGACATAATTAATAACCAGAAACTGAATCATGGGAATTCAAAAACCAAGACAAAGCGACAAAAACATGCTTGACCTTGAGTTCATCTGAGGAAGAAGAGTGGCATTTGATCAGCAGAGAAGCAAAGCTAAGAAGCGAAATCAACAACAACGGAGGAGCAGAAGATCTGCTGTCCATTTCTGAAGTTCGTCTTTTAGTAATGACCTAACAACCTTAACCAACGTGTGTTTATATAGAAGAACAAGGAAAACTAAAATTCCACAGATTCTTGGAAAATGCATGCATATTCTTCTTCTATCAAATTCATCAGTTTACTTTTCCAAGAAGCTTTTGGTGAGGAATACTATCCACCAATCAAGGCAAACGCGTGTTAAAATAAAGTCGAGAGAAAGGATTTATTTGATACGTCCGTGGAGGGGAAGAAAAGTCTACACGAGAGAGAAGACATGGACAAAGCTGAATAACATGGAGCTAGTGAAGCTATCATTGTACAGCTCTCTTAATTGATACTTGATTGGGACACGATCCCCCACATTTATGGCAGTGATTTTCGTACCTTGTCATTTACGTTCTTGTTCATGAGTAAAGATGGTGATTTTCGCTGTCATGCCTCGCGGTTCCAAAGCAATCCAGGTTCAAGAACGAAGGCCCCCAAGTGGGGCTGAGATTCCTGTCAGTTGCATATGTCCAAGTACGTAAATTAATAGGAACAGATGATAAAATATCTTGCATTTTATGTCGAGGGTAGTCTAGGAAATGTTTGAAGCGTTATGTGTTTGCGTGAACACATTAAGAGAGAACGTTGGATATAAATGCTTTGTTTTTCGGATGTAGTAGCTTTCATCGTTGGAATAACTTCCAATTGCATTTACTATGACTAAGCCAAATTTTACAGTATTTAATGTTTGAGCTGAAAATATATACTTCTCTCAACCTACTTACTACTATAAGATAAAGAGAAGGTTTTTCTTCATCTTATTTATAAGTCACCTCATTTAATTTGTAACATGAGTATATTATTTTGTCTTTCATTTATTATAATGTAAATAATTTTTTTTTAAAGGTGCATATATTAAATAAGAGTAAAATTGAAAAGTTGCTATATTTTAAGAGAAAGTTAATGTAGTTTAAAGTTTTTCTTAGTTTGTGTAAAACATGCTGAAAAGTTCTTGTAAAAAGAACTAAAGGAGTATAACTCGCTCCAATCCATAATATAATACTCTTCCGTTTCTTAATACAAAACATATTTAACTAATTTGATTAGATTAAAAAATTTAGGTAAGTTAGTTAACTATAATAAATATAACATGTTTTTCCTAAAATATCTGAATCATCTTCATTATATCCTCCCCCCTCATACTTGATTATAGTTGAGGGAGTATCAATAGAGGTGATTTAAAAAAAATTGATAGATATAAGAAATAGATCTTATATTTATGATCAAAATTAACCCTACAATTAGGTCCTATATTAAGAGTTGGAGGAGTATATTAGTTAATCTTTCTCACAAATCAATTAATATTAGTTAAATCATAAAATGTGTTTTAAATTGATAAAAGTTATCTATTTTATGCTTATTGAAAAAATGTGATTGAAAATTTCTCTCATCTCTCCGTTATATTTAAAACTCTCTCCCCTCCTCATAACAAGGGATACATAAAAGTGAAAAATTATCATTAATTATTCCGTCAAACTCAAATATTTTAAACTAATTTTTTTTAAAGAAGACTTCTTATATACTATGGACAAAGAGGATAGGTTTGATCGATCATCTCACCCTTATATTCAAACTTTTGAAGAATGCAAGGTGTCCGTGTTAATTAGGTGATGAATCTTGACTGGGATGGGACCCCTATGCCATTAGAATGAGCTAGCTTTTGGACCAAAGACCAAAAGAAGTTGTGCATTGGACCCGGAAGAATGCCACTAGCATTATTGAATGCTAAAGCATTCATACTTAGAAAAGTTATTACAGTTTGCATTCACAAGGAGTAGTGCATGATATGCTCTTTTCATTCATAATTAGTATGTCATATGTCGTTAGTATTAGAAGGGAATGAGTTTCGGTGTTAAGCAGACTAATGAGGATAAAAAAACTTATCATTACTGTTGAATTTTGTTTTTTACTTTTATTGTTTCAAAATAATTATTTTAACGTGTGCAAATTTTATAATAAAAATAATATATTAACTGTCAGTTTTAACAAGCTTTTTTTATATAACAATATAGTTGGAAAAGTAAATGAAGACTATTAAAATTGTATTTGAATGACTTATATCTTATCGTAACAATGAGTCCTAAAGTTAGTTCTCATCAAAAAAGTAATTTTTTTCTAGAAAACTAAACTTTGGAACCTAAGAGGCATGGCAAAAGACCCCAATTTGTTTTTTTTTTTTTAACTTTAGTGAATTATTTTAAGAGTTTATAGAGGTTGGAAAGTCTAATTTTTATTTGTTGATTGGTGAATAATCGCTTGAGTGAAGTTTTAACAATCCAATGGGTAACTAAATTTTCTTTCTTGAAAATCCCAAAGAAAAACTATGATTTCTATTTGAATTTCTCATGAAAAGGATGATTTCTATCAAAATACCGCATTGCCAATTCAGAGATGAATCATTCTAAAGCAAAGAATCAATAAGAATTTACTATATCATTTTTTTAACCTTAATTTTACTATCATATTCAATCAATAAGAACTCTTCCAGTACTAATAACAACCATCAGGCGCACTATTTTAGTTGATGATCAACTTTCAAAATTTTTTAATGGGTTGATATATTTTTTTGTCCTTAAGTTTGCTTTTATTTTGGTTTTAATCTAAGTTTTTATTAGATTATAAAGACCAATGTTTTAAATGAAAAGAAACCTGGGAGACCAAAACCTGCAATTTGAAATTTGAGAGATTAAAACCAAAATAAAAATAAATTTGAATGACTAAAATTTGGATTAACCCTCTTTTAAATAATAATAATAATAACAACAACAATATTTTTCGCATAAAATGACTACATGTGTCAATGTTACCTTCGAGTGCAAGCATTTTTAAAAGTGGACAAGAAAAAAAAAAGCATAACTAAATAACTTTTTTCATTTTTATTTATATCTTAAAATTTGAAGATTGTACACATTCTTATTGTAATTTTTTCCCCCTATGACTTTGAATTTTCTAAAGGAAGCATTAGGACTTCACATGCAAGTGAGGGTAAATCACCCAAGTCTTAAGTGGACGAGTACCAAATAACAATAGAAGTTTGATTCAACGGAAATGAATTAATTCCTCATTCCAAGAGATGTCTACAGTTAATTCTTGATATTAATGTGATGAAGACTTGACTTTTAAAATTCCTTTGGTCTTGGAAACAAACTAATTTTTTTTTAGGTCAAAAAGTCAATTTTATTAATAGACAAAGCAAGGATACAAACACCAATAGCTCAAGCCAAAAGGGAAACACTCAAAAAACCTAAGATACAACCTACCACACCAAAAAACTAACCAAAAAAAAAAACAAAGAAGGAAACAAAACCAAAACATTAGCCAATACCTATCCTATTCACCTCTGCAAGCTCCCTCAGTTTCGGATCCTTCCTCAGCAACTCAATCAGAGAGGTTGGTGGTTTTGACAACCATCCTTGCGGTATCAATTCCCCCATAATTTGAGCTACCAGCCAATCAGCAACACAATTCCCATTCCTAGCTACCAGAGCAACCTCCACATCCTTATAATGTGAGGTCTGCGGCAAGTTGATGCACTTCATCACAACATCCTCACAAAACCACTCACATCCCTTATACTGCCCCTGTCATTGGTTTTTTTTCATCTCAATTGGCAATCTGAGCATTGATTCACTGCTATAATTCTTCTCTCTCTCTCTTTTCTACAGCTTCCCAATGATCCTTAACCAATCTTAAAGCTCCTATGACACACAAAAAAGCATCAATGTCCACATGTTCAAACATGAATTTGCACCTAGCTTTCCATATTTCCCAACAGATACTACTAAACATAGCTCTTTCATAATCATGAGTTTTATCTCCTTCTTTAAACCAATCCTCTAGCCATCTATCAATTCTGAAATTCCCCAGGTCTTCAAACTTCAGAGTCAAAGGAGAGCCAAACTAGCATTGAATTGTCCACGGACATAGAAAAAGAGCATGCTCAATAGTTTCTACATCCGCTTTACAAATTTCACATTTAGGATCCAAGGAACATTTCTTCTTAAAGAGGGAGTCCTTTATTGCTAGAGCTCTATTCACTGTCCTCCATAGAAAATGTAGAACTTTAGGAGACATTTTAATCTTCCATATTCCATTCCACGAGGTTTTTGAAGGTTTATAAGAGCCACTAGGATCAAAATTCTTTTTCACTTCATCCTCCTTCAAAGCCACCTTATATCCCCATTTGACAGCATAGGTCCCATCCCTACTATTTTTCCAGATGATTTTATCAGCAGCACCAATCACTGGCATTCTTTCCAGATTTCATTCTTTTCATCAGCTATAAACCAATCATCAAAACCATCGAAGCACCACTGCCCATCTTTAATCAGATCCTTCACGCATAACTTTTCCATTTCTTTAGAAAACACTCTACTTTTCAAATTTCCATCCGTTGATTCATAAAGCTAGCTATACTTTCACCATTTCCTAGCTTCCATCCAAGATTTTTCCTCAACAGTTCTCTTCCTTCTAAAATGCTCGTCCATCCCCAAGAAGCCTTGATCCCTTTTTTAGCTTGCATGAAATCAATTTCAGCAAAGTAAACTCCTTTCAAAATCCTACACCAAAGGTCATCAGGATTTTGAATAATTCGCCAAGCAGTCTTGGCCAGTAGAGCTTTATTAAAAGCCTCCAGACTTCTGAATCCCATACCTCCCTCACTCTTCATCTTACTCATGACTTTCCAAGCTTTCCAATGTATCCTACCCTCTTGCTCTTCCCCACCAGAACTTGGAGATCATGCTATCCAAATCACTACAAACCTTCTTTGGAAACATGAAGCAGGTCATAGGGTAGATTGGAATAGCATTGGCTACAGCTTTAATAAGCACTTCTCTTCCTGCAAAACTTAATAACTTTTGTTTCCATCCTTGTAGCTTCTTACCCATTTTGCACTTCATAAAAGATAAAGCTTCCACCTTCGACTTACCCCAGGTCATAGGAAGACCGAGATACTTGCCAAGATCCACACAATCATTAATCCCTAACTCCTCATAAACATCCAATTTTACAACATCACAAATGTTTTTTGAGAAGAAAATACAGGGTTTTTCCAGATTTATCGCTTGACTAGAAGCCTTACAAAAGCAATCTAGAATTCTCTTCAGCATTCTACAATTCTGCCTTTTTGCATTGATAAAGAAAAGGGCATCATCAACAAAAAAAAAACAATGTGATAATACTAGACATCTACTGGCTAACTTGATCCCTTTCAACCTTCCACTCTCCACATGCTTATGAATCATAATAGATAAGACATAAGAAGCTATTATGAAAAGGTATAGGGATAAGGGGTCACCTTGTCTAATTCCCCTTCCTATCCTAATTCCTGCCACCTGCTTTCCCAAGACAACCAAGTTTAAGCTAGTAGAGGTCACACACTGTATTATCCAGCCAATCCACTTTTCTCCAAACCCCATTCTTCTCATTAGTTCCTCAATGAAACACCATTCCAACCTGTCATAGGCTTTCATATCAATCTTCACCACCATTTCAAACTTCTTTCCCTTTTTCTTGTTCTTAAAATAGTGGAAAGCTTCATGAGCAATTATTAGATTATCTTGTATCAACCGACCAGCCACAAAAGCTCTATGATTTTCTGTTGTAGTTTTCATCAACACTACCTTTAATCTATTAAACAGGATCTTTAAAATTATTTTGTAAGCAAAATTACAAGGTCCAATTGGTCTAAATTGTCCCACATTGTCAGCATTTTCCACCTTTGGTATTAGTACCACATTGGTTTTATTCAAAGGCTTCAAACTGGCATTATTCACAAAGAAGTCTTGCACCATTTCTACTACTTCCTGATTTACCTCATCCCATGCTGTGTGAAAAAATAAACCTAAATATCCATCAAGACCAGGTGCCTTTGAGCCATTCAACTGGAAAGTTACCCCTTTAATCTCTTCCAATATGACATGTCTTGCTATCATTGCATTATCTTCTTCTGCCACAATTTCCTGAATATAGTGCAATGCTTCCTCCATGTCTCTGATTCCTCCTGAAGCAAATAACTCAGAATAGAACTTAGCAAAAGTTGTTTTGATCTCCTCTTTTTCTATCCATTCACCATCTTCTCTTTTCAATCTAACCACTTTATTTTTGGCTCTTCTCTGCAAAGTACTAATGTGAAAGAATCTTGTGTTTCTATCCCCAGACTGTAACTAGTTGACCAGAGATCGCTGCCACCAGAATTTTTCTTCCCTATCCCAGGCCTTTTCAATTTCTTTAATGATCTCTTTAGCTTCTTCCCTTCCTGCTTCAGTCAGATAACCCCTCTGGCAGGCCTTTAGCTTCTCAGTCAGCAGCCTCATTGTCTTCCTGGCATTGGGAAAGACTTCATTTCCCCATTTAGTATGACCAGGATTAAGATTATCTAGTCTATACACCAAATCTTCCACTTTAGTATCTTCATTCCTTCTTCTCCCTTCCCAACCTCTTTTAGCCATAGGCAAAAAATTCTCATGCTATACCCAAATCGCCTCAAATCTGAAAACCTTTAAGACAAAACTCTATCTATGATCGCAGTCCACAAAGAGTAAGTGATGATCAGATCCAATAGGGTCCATAATGGTAACCAAGGCATTTTGAAAGTTTTCTCTAAATTCACAATTTGCTACTGCTCTATCAAGCCTTTCCTTCACATGTTCCTCCCCAAGCCTCCTATTATTCCGAGTAAATTTAGATCCTTGGTAACCCAAATCCAACAACTCACAGTCTGCCAATATGCAATGAAAGTTTAGGACTCTCCTGACATTGACAGGCAGCTTTCCCAATTTTTCAGTTGTTGCTATGACATAGTTAAAATCCCTTAAACAAAGCCAACTACTTTTTATGTTTGCAACAAAATTCCTCATTTTGTTCCATACCATCATTTTCCTCTCATCAGTTGGTGCATTGTAAACAAAGGTAATGTAACCAGGAACTTTGCTTGCATCAGACTTCACCGATACATGAATAAGATTCATTGAGCTAAACCAGATGTTTTAAACTCCACTTCTCTCATCCACCATAGAGCTAAGCCACCCCCTGTTCCCCTAGGCTCTACAAAAAATTCTTCTTCCATACAACACTCTTCTTTAACTTTCTTAACCTTCTGCCATTTTCTCTTGTTTCCATTAGGAATATCACTAAGGGTTGCAATCTTAAACTTTCCTCCCTCAGCTTTTTAACTATCAAGGCCCTCCCAAGACCGTAACAGTTCCAAAAAAGTAGCTTCATGTTTCCTTGGTGGCTGTTTGAGGCTAGCCACCAAGACCTTCAGCAAACACTTCCTTCACATTATCTACATTTTGAAGCCAATCTTTAAGACCCTTAGCTTTCTCCTTTACTACTGCCCTTCTATGCACTTTTGAGTTCCCATTCCCCTTGTCACCACTCCTTATTAATTTATGTACAGCTTTGACCTCCTTCCCTCATTTGTTAATGCTTCAACCCTGTGCACTTCATCTATCATCGTCATATCCTCAAAATACAATTTTCTCCTCTTAATCATCTGGTTCTCAATATTCTCTTCAAAGGATCTCTTCAATTTCACCTTCTTCAAACCAGTTGTTACTTCTGACATTGGTGAGTTCGAGCCATAAACCACTATCACTTTAGATAAGCCTATTTTCTCCTCCTTTGCGATATTCTCCTTCTTCTTCTCATTTGGGCTCTCATGCATAGCCTTTCTACTATCTTCTATTTCATATTGTGCTTCCCCGCCTACCTTTACTCAACCTTGTTTCTCCTTTACCTCATTGCTTTCTTTTTAAACTGTCACATGTTCCCTACCATCATCAGGAGCATCAAAGGCAATTTTTGGTGATACATTATTTCCCTTACTGCACTTTCCACAATCTTTTAATAGCTTTTCACTTTCAACAGCCCTGTATTTTCCTTGTCTTGAGTCTTCATATTCCTCCTATTCTTCAGTGTAATAAATTCCCTCCAAGGTTTTAATTCCTAGAGTACTCAACCATCCTCTAAATTTTCTTTCTACATTTTCCACATCTTCCTCTCCACTAGGACACATTCTCATATCATGTCCAATCGTACCACAGACAAAGCAAAAATTCTATAATCGCTCATATTTTGCTTTGATCCAAACTGGCTCCTTATTTGGTCTTGGCGTCCACATACCAGATATGAGCGGTTTCTGAATGTCTACAACCACTCTAGCTCACAAAAAGCTTCTAACAAGAAGTTTCTTCTTTCTTGTATTTTCTATTAGTTTGACATCACCAATCATCAATCTAATGATCTTAGCATTCTCAGCATCCATCACTTCTAATGGCAGATCATGACATTGAATCCAGAATGGAGATTTACTGAAATCATCTCATTAAAAATCATAGAATCTTTTCCACAATTGTACATTCAACAGAGTACCTTGTATCGACCAAGGACGACCTCGTAGTACGCGATCGCGTTCCTCTTATTTTTGAATTCAAAGATGAAGGCATTTCGATCTATTTCGGAGATCTCCAAATCTTCACTCCTCATCAGATTCCAGCCCTTCCTGATCTTCTGAATCACCGTTTGTTTATTCATGTTTTTGTCTATAATTAGCTTACCAGCCAGAGCTCCACCATAGAATTTCTTCTACTCCTTTTTCTTCCATACCAAATTCACCTCCGAACCTCCTCTCTAGCCATTTCCTCCCTCCTTCAAACCTTCTTCCATTCTAGATCCTTACCTTTTCTGAGATATTGCAATGTACAATACCTTAAAACACTCTTTCTTCCTCCGTCGTAGTAGGCGGCAGAGCACACTGGTCCCTATCAGCAAGATAACTGCCGTAACAAACTGTCACGGGGAGAGAGAAAAGCTCTCACGTGGAGAGAGACTATAGCTCAGAAACAAACTAATTAATAATATGTTTTTTTTAATAAAAATGCCTTTCTGTTAATAGTAAGATAGACGCAAATTTTCCTTTCATCTCTTTTTTTTTTTTTTACCAGCAATTTTCCTTTGATCTCTAGTATATGTATAAACATATGTAACTATGTATGTCTTTAAGTTATATCATTTATAAATGTTGTGGTTTGTGTTGGGTTATACTTTTTATATATAGCTATTTAAATTACCACTAATTTAAATTTTAATAAATATTGACAGATTTATAGCTTTTGTTTCCAACTTTTGTTACGCTGTTAATCCATTTATGAATTCCAAAATTTGATCTTAAATAACATTATTCATTTAGAATGTACGACCTCCAATTCTAAGCACAAAATTTAGTTAATAATAATAATAATAATAATAATTTGCAATATAGAAATTTGATCTTATATTTAGAAATGGAGATCTTAATATAATTTGGAGGCGAATTTTCACAAAGTAAATGCTAAATTTTGATGACATTTTGTGCAAGAACTTTATTGAAAAAATTACATTAAGTTCCATGTAAGAGAATTAAATATAAAAAACTCTCAAAATCATCAAATTAATCTAAAGTTTCAAAAGATTTTATTATAAGAGATTTTACTTGTTTTAATTATTAAATTGCCTTCATTTTTCTAAGTATGCATTTTCAATTGAAAAAACAGTTATTAACAATTTAAAGTGTAACGATTAACAACTATCGTGATAAATAATAACAACCCATGCATTAAACTTTTGTGATACACTGAGAAAATATATTGTTAATACCTAATGTGATAGTGTGTAATCATTACACTTTTAGTTGTTAACGACTATCTTTTTAATTATCAATGCATATTTAAAAAAAAAAAGAAGATAAAAGTGTCGTAGTAACTAAATAAGTGGAATCTCTTGTCACGAGATCTCTTTAAAATTTAGATTAATTTGATAATTGTAAAAAACTATTTTGTATTTATTTCTTTGAATGGGATTTAACGCAATTTTCTAGAAATAGAATACCGTGCAGTCGCCATCTGGATTTATTATCTTTGAGTTTTTTTGCCACGTTGTTTTTGAAGGCTTTTTTTAAGTTTGGGTTGAAATTAAATTAAAGAAATGGGCCCTTGATTGTCGAAAAAAAAGCCCAGAATTAGCACTCATCTTGAAAATGTATCTCGTGACAAGTCATTAGGCACAAAGCCACAAACTTATTTTGACATTTCATAATAATGATTTCGTAATGTAATAATTTTTCATAATAATTGACACACATGAACGCAACACTTATATCAAATTTTTTATATTCATCATGTTGAACTTTTCAATTATATATGGTCATGAATGCTATCTTTAAAATATTATTATTTAATTATAAACTCGTAAAGGAGATATAGTTGACCATATATGATTCAAAAAACTTCATAATGAAAATAATGAATTTGACATTAAAGTCATTAAAACTTAAATTTATTTGGAGATTTTTATCATTAGTAACAATCATATTGAGAGACATTGAGAAGACAAGACAGAGATAGATAGCAATGGCCAAGGGAACGGGAAAGCAAAAGCAAGCATAATCCACACGCAAAAAATAGTATTGTCATTAGTCAAATAATAAGCCACTCTCTTTCTTTATCTTTTGTTTTTCCTTTCCTTTCTTGAGACTGAAATACCTACATCTTTCGTTCATTTTCTTGCTGGGGATGAATGCATGCATTTTTTTTTTTTTCAATATGAAGTTTTCGGTTGTTGTTTGCATTGCAATTAAGTATATGTGGTATTACTTTCTGTCTTTAATATAAGAGTTTGATAAGTGTTAAATTTGATTTTAAATATAAAACATTAATTTATTTTGTTTCTCATATTTATCATTTTTCCTCATAATAATTTACTTAACTTATAAACCCGTATGTCATCTAACATTGAATAGGAGTATTTTAAAAAAAATTATGTTATATTTGTTATAACTTATTAATTTATTTCTTTTTTAATTTATCTAAATTAGTTAACTAATTATTAACTATTGAAATGAGTACAATGAGACCTTTTTTTTCCCCTTTGAATTTCTCTAGAGACAGTTGAGTTTACTTTAAATTTCATTATAACAAATACTGAAATGAAAATATAATTGAGTTTTAACTTTGATACTACTGGCTAATAACTGTTGTTGGGATGGAAAAAATACATTGGAATGCGATGAAATTCACAAGTCAGTTTTTCTGTGTTTACAAACTAATTACTTCTCTGACCTTTAATATAAGACCTATTTAACTAATTTGACTAGATTAAGAAAGTTAGGTAGGTTAATTAATTATAAAAAATATAATATGTTTTTCCTAAAACACCATAATCATATTTCTTAATATCTTTCCTCCCTCACTTACTTGATTATGGTTGAGAGGGTATTCATAAAAATAATTTAAGCTAAACTGATAAATATGAAAAATAAATTTTATATTTAGAATCAAAATTAACTTAATAATTAGGTTTTATATTAATGATCTGAGAAGGATTTTATAAGTTATGAGTTAGCTTCGCACTATTCAGATAAGCTCCTGTTGACGATGGCGCATTGAATTGAATCCACATAAAGTGTTAGTAGGCCATAAGGCCTTTGATAAAAACAGGTATCTGAAACCAAACTGACGGGCAACCAACAAATAATTTGAGACCAAACTTCCCTGTGTTTCCAGGACAAGTTTTTGGGAAAAGAAAAAGCCGACTACTGAATAAGAAGCCCAACTCTATGGCATTTTGTCATTTTAAAGTTCTCTATCGTTGCCAACAAATATTGATTCAGGTAAAAATGATTTGGACACCTTAAACATCATATCCTATGTATAAAAAAAATACTGTTGAGAGAGGTTCTTGTTACAGCGCCTGACTCTACTCCAGAGATTAGTCTCTTACCGTTCGGTTGGCAAAATATTCTAGGCAACCAAACTAAAAGTTCTCTATTTTTTTTTTTTTGCCTACAGTTCTCTATCCAAGATGGTTCAAATATAAACAAATATTTTAATGAAAAAGATGATATGTTCCATTTGAAATTGAAAGGATGAAGAAATTACTAACCTTTTAATTTAGATTATTTCTGCTAATCAATGTATAAATACAACCTTGTTTAATTCTCTTACTATAAGAGACAACCATCATAATCATGGGATTCAAAATATTAGTTAAAAATAATAAATATATAAAATATATATTTTTATAATTATATATTTATTTGAGAGAGTACGTAATATATATTTAATAAAAATAAAAATGAAATGATCAATTTTCAATTTTAAACAAGGAGGAGTTTTTTTTATAAAAAAAATATTTAGGAGCATCACGCCTGTGAGAGATTGTATTATAGAAAATGAAGGTGATTTAATCTTTTTCATTTTGCGTTGATTGTTTGGTCATATTCAGGTTGATGAAGAAGATCTGACGATGAACTCAAAACAGGTTTGCAAAAAATAAATAAAAATAACATCTTCCGAGATTCACGCATTGCAGTCCACGTGTAAGGCTGTTCAAAGTGCTTTCTCGTCCGTTTTTATTCCGTTTCTCTTCATTGTTGGCCTTCCAATATGCACTTTCTTCTCTCTCTCTCTCTCCTCCTCCCCGTCCCTGCACTCCTCTGTAACCTCTCCACTCTTTTCAATCTCTATTCCCTCTGTTCACCGTCGCTTCATCACTTGCCTCTTACCGTCTTTTATGGTTCGTTTCCCTTTCTCTGTCTGTTTATCACGATAACTTGCAGCCAAACTAATGGATTTTATATGTTGTCGAATTTTGAATGTAATTTCGGCCGTGTGTTTGTATATCCTAGGTTTTTGGTCGACAAATTTGTGTTTGCTAATTTTGCTTAGATCTGGGCAGGTTTTACGTGGTATCGGGTGTTGGAAATATGGCATATAAAGTCGATCATGAATACGACTATCTTTTCAAGATAGTATTGATTGGGGATTCTGGTGTCGGAAAATCCAATATCCTTTCTAGGTTCACGCGAAATGAGTTCTGTTTGGAATCCAAATCTACCATTGGGGTAGAATTTGCTACGAGGACATTGCAGGTTGGTTTTATAACATCAACTTCCATGTCATTCGAGTTCCGTTTCGGTTGATTCTCGCATGAAAGGTGCTGGGTTCTTGTTGATCTTCCCCTTCGATTAGTCTTTACCTGGTTCAAAATTAGGTCCTGAAAGAATTGAATGAGTGAATGAATCTCTATCTGGTTTTAGGATAATGAACACCTGATGACTTTTTTTTCTTTTTTTTGGTAGAACACCTGATGAGTTTTTTCTGTTATGGTGACTATACAGACATCAATTGGAATGCTTGTACTCATCATCTTTGCATTTGCATGCAACATATAAGGATAGATGTGGCCAGATAGGTACACTTGATACCATGGAGCAAACTAGATATTTCTATTCCTGATTTCTCTGTAATGTATGACAGTTTTCTTCTGTGAAAAAATTGGGACTACCGTTACTTAATTTCTTTGAGCTCTCCAGCAGTGTTTATATTTACTATATTTACTGTTTGTCATCACTTTTTGTCCATGTCTTTTGTAGGTAGTACTACTAAGACCATCCAGTAGGAAAAAATTATTTAACTGGGAGAGATTATAAGAAAACAGTTTACAACTTTTGTATGATATCTTAAGTTCTAGCATTTTAGTTCATTCTAGTCTCCATCGGTAGGTGCTCTGTCTTTAATTTATATTCAAAAAGGGTCTAGTGCTGATGGAACTTGTCAAACATTTAAATAAACTATTCATGATTGGCGTATCTCAGAATTCCTTGGTAGTAATGACCAAATGCTTTGTCTGCACTTTAAGTAGCTTGGGTGAAAGATGTCTTGTAAGAACGCCAAACAAAATTATTCATGAAGTTCACATAACTTATTAGGTATCAGCGCTCATTCTCCTTGTTAGGGATGGCCGCAACCTGGCCTGATCACATTGGATTGCAGAAACTTTAAAGGAAAAAAGAAAAAAATTGTGGTCCAAGCCAATCTTATTGGCAATTTTTTCTGATTCGATTCAATTAATTAAAAGGTAACAAATGTGTATGAGAATTTATTTAAAAATTTTATTTTAAGAAAAATATAATTTAGTAAAAGACTTGTCTGTCTTCGTAAAGAGTAATGAGTTATAATCAGCATGACTCAGACAATGTAGAGGACAAATTTGTGGTACTGTGGTTTACTTTGTATGAAAGAGTTGATTGTTAGGAAATCCATGTTTCTGTTGACATAGGTGGAGGGGAAGACTGTAAAGGCACAAATATGGGACACTGCAGGTCAAGAGAGATACCGAGCAATCACAAGTGCCTACTATAGAGGAGCTGTTGGAGCCTTGTTGGTCTATGACATAACGAAAAGGCAAACATTTGAAAATGTGCAGAGGTGGCTTCGCGAACTAAGGGACCATGCAGATTCTAACATTGTTATTATGATGGCTGGAAATAAATCTGACCTGAATCACTTAAGAGCAGTTGCTACTGAAGATGCTCAAAGTTTGGCTGAGAAGGAGAATCTGTCTTTTCTAGAGACTTCAGCATTAGAGGCCCATAATGTTGAGAAGGCATTCCAAACCATATTATTGGATATATATCAAATTATGAGTAAAAAGGCGCTGGCAGCACAAGAAGCAGCTTCCTCCACTGGCCTTCCTCAAGGGACAACCATAAATGTCTCAAATTTGTCAGGTAACGTGGAAAAGAAATCTTGTTGCTCAAATTAAACAGGATAGCTCTGTGTAAAAAAGGAGAGGAGTGAACTTGCTCGTAGAAAAATATAGTTATATGAATTAGTAACATGAGGAATACTTGCTACCGGCCGCCAGATTTTCGTTTATATTATTCTCCTGGAAGATGGGAGGGGACTAGTCTCTTAACACTCGCAAGTGAATATGCTGAACATGGCAGTTTTAACAAATTCGTCTTCGCTTTGGAATGAAGTAATTATGAAAAGCAGCAATGCATTCGGAGTTAGGTTATTTGGTACAGTTGGGGTTTAGTTGGAAGCAATGTAACTATAGTTTCTCAACAATGTCACTCATTTGGCTCTTCTGATCTGCGTATTTTTGTCTTCTTTCATTCACAATAAGATATTTCGTTTCTTTTATTTAATCTGATGTTACTTGTGATTACAACTATGCTTGAAAATGCTTATTCTAACTTGTTGGATGTGCATCTAATATGAAACAATAGGAGATCTTAGGTACTTTAATCTAAAACAATAGTAGTAGTACTAAGCAAACCAAACCAAATCTTGAAATAACATATGAGCATGTGAGACTAAAAGTGCAGATTCCAAAAGTTTTTTCTTCGTCTTTATGGTTATGATTGGTTTACTCATCTTATGTACCTAAGATTTTTCTGTCAGACGTTCTGGGATATCTTTCTCCTTCAGAAGAATTGGTCAAACAATCCATAATGTTGTGCATTCTGTTGATTTATTTAACAGCTAGTTATATATTCAGGAATGACTGCGTTGTAGCTGTTTATATTGTTTGTACTTTGTTAACGGTGGATACACCAATGAACAACTAAGGAGGTAACACTGAACTTAAAAAGTTGTTGAAGTTCAATAAAAGGATGAAGTGAAAGATCTATCTCCAGTCTCCATAAGGGGCATATACATGTTTGAGCAGATTTGACCTCGATCGATGAACACCCATGGCGGCAAAATGTATAGCTCGAGTGCCTGTTAGGCTCGACTAGCATCTGATCAAGCTGGTAAATAAAAAAATTTTCTGAAAAATTAAAACTTAATACTACCTCCGGACAATGTCTTATAATTAGAACCGCAGGTAGTACAAGCATAATTTTATTTATGGAAAAAAAAATATATCATTTCCTTCAATCATGATATATTTCTTTTAAAACAATTGTTAGGATAACTATGAGGTCTTATAATTAGGACCGAAAGTAGTACAAACATAATTTTATTTATGGAAAAAAATATACTATTTCCTTCAACCATGATATATTTCTTTTAAAACAATTGTTAGGATGAATACAAGGTTTTATAATTAGGATACCAAACTTTATCCTCCCTGGCTCCAATGGACGAGGCGAGATTGGGTTCATTGGCCAAGCGAGTGAGTAATTCTAATGTCTTGATTTTTCTAAAATACTTAATTTAATAGAAACTTCCTCCATATGAAAATCTTTTGCAAATATATGCAATCAATAAAGATAATTTAAGGAAAAAATTATAAATTTGAAAATAAAGTGAATTGAATCTCAAATTTAAGATCAAAAGTAAATATTCCAATTAACTCTTATATTCAAAATCTTTCAGTTAGTTTTTATATTTAAAATGTGACGGAATAATTGTAATGCTTTGCCGCGGTGCCTTTGTATATACTGACCACCAGAACAAGTAATGGTGCACGTGGAGACGAACGAAAAATATTTAAGGGTTTAGTTGCCAATAATAAATAAAGAATGAAGAAGCTCGTGCCTTTTGTAAGGTTTTTCTCTTTTGATAATAAATGGATCCGTTAAGCCACCCCTTGAAGAATCAATACATTAGATTTACTAGAACCCAGTTACGAGGCAGATCACAACCTGGCCAATCATGCTCACAGCTTATTATTAGGGGGGTTTTTATTTACAATTTTTCTTTTACTGTATTATAAAATCTTTATCATTTCATAGTATCAGCACAGCAATATTATAATTTATAAATAAATAATGGTATTGCGAAGAATTACTTAAATGTAATCAGTAGTTTCCTTTCATTATAGCAATTCTAACAAATCAATTCAATATGCAAACTACTTTTAGAATGAACTATTTAATGTTACATATGAATATAAAATAGAATGACATGAAATATTTGATTAAAAACTTAGCAAACTCAAGCTGAATATCAATATTAGTTTCTTTTTTTAGCGTAGTTTTGTCTATCTGTGTTTTTCAAATTCCAAAGTCTTTTTTTGTGATTTCTCCTAGTATTTATTATTTTGGTGATGCAGTGTAGCATGACTAAAACGTATTTTAGACATTTTACTCATATTTTATATTTGTAAAAGTGGGACTCAGTCCTTATTTGCTATTTTCCAAATTCAGAGTCCCAAATTGTAATTTTACATATTAGGAGTTTTTTATTTGTTACCCGTGCATTCCATGAGGAAGTCAACGCTAGTTTCTTTTAAAGTAATTATTAACATTAATTATATAATATTTAAATATTAATTAAAAACACAATATGTATGGGTGTGTCAAATTGACATGGGACGAGCTAGCACCAAACTTGGTATCCTGCCAGGCTCCAATGGACGGGGCACGTTTGGGTTCATTGGCCAAGCGGATGTGTACACAGATTCTTTGGTCTTTTTTTAAATTCGTCTAATAATTTTACATAAAGGAGTTAAATAAATAATTTATAAAAAAAATTTAATTCAGTTAATTATTAGTAAAAATATATGTTTTGGTTTTTTAAAATGCCTAATTTAATCATTTCCAATAGAAACTACCTTCATATGAAAATCTTTTCTAAATATATGCAATGATCAAAGATAGTTTAAGAAAAGAATTATAAATTTAAAAATAAAGTGAATTGAGTCTTATATTTAATATCAAGTAAATATTTCAATTAACTCTTATATTCAAAAATTTTCAATGAGCCTTTTTATTTAAAATATGATGGAATAATTGTAATGCTTTGCAGCGATGCTTTTGAATATATTTACCACCAGAAAAAGTAATGGTCCACGTGGAGACAGACGAAAAATATTTATGGGTTTAGTTGCCAATAATAAAAGAATGAAGAAGCTCAAGCCCTTTGTCAGGTTTTTCTCTTTTGATAATAAATGGATCCATCAAATCAGCTGTTGGAGAATCAATACATTACATTCACAGCAAGCCAGTTACAAGCCAGATCACAACCTGGCCGGCCGTGCTCACAACTTGACCTTTTGGAAGCTGAGTCCACATGTTTAAGGATGTGTTTGGATGAAACCAAACCGTAGTTTGAAAAGGTGATTCTGGAAAATAGATTATAGGGAGAATAGATTCTGTGAAGAATAGATTTTGTAAAAAAGTGATTCTGAGAAGTGAAAGTGTTTGGATAGTTGTTATCAGAAGCACTTTTTATACATACAAATTACTAAAAAAAAGACATAAGTTAATATGATAATTACAGAAAAAATAGATTTTATGATATATTTTAATTTGAAGGAATAAAATTGTTAATAATATATTTTTTATTAACATAATTAATAATACATAAGATAATATAATTAATAAATAATTAATATGTATATATATTTTTAAAATATAAGATTAAATATGTTTATAAAAAAATATGTTTATAAAAAAAATAACAAGATACATATCCTATAAGCTCTCACACTCTCCCTTTTTTTTCCAAAAGCAAAAAATTTCTGCTTTTTTCAAAATCATAGTTTTGGAGCCAAAACCATGGTTTGTCCAAAACCATGGTTTGTCCAAAACCATGGTTTGCCCAAAACCAGGTGTTTGGGTGACTTATCACCCAAACCATGGTTTGGGGTGTCACCTAAACGGGGCCTAAAACTTGATAATAAATCTTCAAAAAAAAAAAGAATTTTACATATATATATATACTCTTCCGGTCCTTAATATAGGACTCAATTTTTGAGTTGGTTTTGGTCCTAAATATAAGACCCATTTATCATATTTATCATTTTTCTCTAAATTACCCTTATAGATACTCTATCAACCATAATCAAATAGAAGAGGGAGAGGAAGTATTAAAAAAGATGATTATGGTGTTTTAGGAAAAATGTGTCACTTTTCTTATAATTAACTAACTTACCTAACTTCCTTAATCTAATCAAATTAGTTAAATGGGTCTTACATTAAGGACCGGAAGAGTATATATGTATATAACTTCCTCACGCTTATTATTGTCCAGTCTTAATATTTAATATATAATTTGTAGTTTAAAATATGCTATAAACTAGTTGATAAATCTTATATTTAAAACCAGAGACAATACTTGTTATTTTGCTGATGTAACGTAGCATGACGACGGCTTTTGCGCACACAATTTTATAAATGGGACTATGGTACACAACTCACGTCAATAATTTGTAGATGCTTTATTAGTGAAATAATATACTAATATTAATTAATAACAAGGATTATTTGCAACAGGGATTGTTTGCTCAAATTTAAGTTTAGGAGGTTTCTGGGCAAAATTTTAAAAATAATTAAGGTCATATAATAGATTACACAAGAATTATTCTTGCAATATCAAAGATGTCAATATAAATTATACTACCTCCAGTCCTTAATATAAGATCTTGTTTGACTTTTATTTTGGTTTTAAATATAAAACCTTAATCCACTTTGTCTCTCATATTTATACATTATTTTTCAAGGTAATCCTTCTAACAATGGTAACTTTGGCCAATATACTTGATTAACAAGGATATTTTAAGAAAGACAGTACTAATTTATTACAAATAACTAACTTAACTTGTTTTTTTAATTTTCTCAAATTAGTTAACTAACTCTTATAATTAGGACAGAAAGTAGTACATCAATAAAAAGTATTCGAGCATGTTTCGAAATGTTTAGAATTTAGAGCTCATTTTTGTTATGCCCCATAATGCCTCTTTTTAGCGAAAAAAGGAAAAAGAGTATCATTATCATACACACTATGATTTAGGCTAGAATATTTCTCAAATTTAATTAGTTTATATGTTTGATACGTTTAAGATTAGGATTCCTTCTCCTAATCTAATGATGAAGATTAGGATCTCGGACGACATACTTGGCTCCTCTTAAACGGTCACTAGTTTGACATATTGAAAACACTTTTTAAACAAATTAAAAAGGAAATGAAAAAAGAAATTACTATCTCCGATCCTAATTATAAGAGCTAGCTAACTAATTTGAAGATATTAAGAAAAAAAGTTAAGTTAGTTATTTGTAATAAATAAGTATTGTCTTTTCTAAAATATCCTTGCTAATCAAGTGTATTGACTAGAACTACCATTGTCAGAATGACTACTTTGAAAAAATACATAAATATAATAAACAAAGTAAATTGGAATTTTATATTTAAGACAAAAATAAGAATCAAACAAAGTCTTATATTAAGGAGTGGAGGTAGTATGATGACATAACATATTACTCCTCCGGTCCTTAA